TTTAACCTCGTAAGTAGTTTGAGCTTTTATCAAGTAAACCTTTACCAAACCAACGGGTAATAACTCAATCCGAAATCCAATGTGGTTCAGTTTTCGGCAAAAGCTAAAGTGAGAAATGCATATATATAAGTACAATACAAAAACCACTCAAAATCACATAAACGAAAACTCAAGTTAATCCGAAAAACTCCCTCCGATACACACCAACCGCAGAAAACAAAACAACAAATCTCAATTAAATCATTTACTACAACGAAAGACTAAGGGTTCCAAACTTCTAATTACTCAGAAAATTGGACCCATTCAATTGGTTTCCTCTACTGGGCCTTCTCTATGGGCTTACGGGTTGACAAATCAAAAAGGAAATGGGCTACAACTAATCTCAATACTCGGTTCAAATTGCTTCTCTAATGTGTAAAGGTCTGTTAATTAAAGTTGGCTTGTAAAACTCAAGCACTTTTGCTTCTTTATTGCATATGAAAAGTTAAACAAAAAAAAAAATCATTTAAATCGTAATTCGAGTTATACCCAAGGCTGGAAACCATATTGCGATATATAAAAAATACTTACAATAATGTATATACTCATTTACTAATTTTGATTACTGTAAATACAGTGAAACAATATTGTGATAAAATAAGGGTACGCGACCAAATAAAATACAATTTCTTTTACGTAGAATCTGAAAATGGGTAATTAATTAACATTTGTACCCAAATTGTGAATATCAGATGTTCTAGTTCTCTGGTCATGAAATAACGACAACAAATGGGGGTAATGGACCATTTAAACCCAAATTATATTAGAAAAAGGAAAAAAAAAACATTTGTACCAAATCCTAGTAACGTTTTCTGCAAGTAGGAATGCTTCTCTGTAAGAAACACTTGATTCCTGTTATTTTGGAACAGGAAAAATTTTACGACGACAATGTGATAAAGATCACAAGTATTCTTAACAGAACCAGCGCATACTTAACAGACTACACGTACCATAGCCACACACTATATACGACGAAATAGCAATCAGAGTAGTCTAATGCTCTCTTTTAACCAATTGTCTTGTAGAAAGAACATTGTTTCATACCCCACAATATATATAACCTAAAAGATTCTTAAGAACAAAACTCTTTAAAGAATAACTCTCTTTGTATGTTTAGAAACTTCACTCAAAACTAAACACAAGTTTTTGCTCTTGCTTAATTATTTTTTTCACAACTTTGACATTGATATATATAGTACTAACACCACCTTGTTAATGCTAACACCGCTTTGTTAGTGCTATCACCACCTTCTTAATGCTAACACCACTTTGTTAGTGCTATCACCACCTTCTTAATGCTAACACCACCTTGTTAGTGYTATCACCACCTTCTTAATGCTAACACCACCTTGTTAGTGCTAACACCACTTTGTTAGTGCTATCACCACCTTCTTAATGCTAACACCACCTTGTTAGTGATATCTTAGGTGGCAAGTTATCTAGAAGCTTATCCA